GAGTGCCTTCGTGGTATTTCAAATAAACCCTAAATATGAAAAGTGGCAACTCTCCATGAGCCATGCGAACCAGAACAAACAATATTCTTTGATGCTAAGAACTTCATTTTGTTCATTTATCTGTCCTCCTACACAACACAGACAGTAGAAACTCGCTGCTCAGCCTGAACACGTTTCAAACCGACTGGATCAATTGCTGCCAAAGTAATTAGAAAACATCAAGCGAGGTGTGAAAATACCTGTATATCCTGCTCCACTCTGAACCTGCAAACTGTTGAGTCCTATCTCGACATAGGGTCTCTGTCACCTCCTGTGGGTATCCATCTCAAATGCAGAAAAGCAAAATCTGTTAGAATAACAGATGTAACACTAAGCTCACTCTTGCCATCTAAACAAAAAATACTCAAAGCAGACAGCTGTGCTGCCTCGTTCCTGCTGCTGGTATTTCGTTCTGCCTGGGTGGATGGAGAGTTCATAGATCAAGGAGCACTGGGAAGGTTTTCCTTTTCTTACTGCATCGTTGGAGAGCGCTGCTGGGACAACTCAGAAATAGGCAAAACAAAACAATACAAAGCAAAACAAAACAAAAATCTATGAAACTTGCTGTCTCCAGCTTAGCCCCAACCTTTGACCCAAGTGTTGATTTAAGGTGGAGACAATCTTAAAAAAGACTGGATTCATCCAGCTACTGCTACGAAAACATTCTTTTTTTTTAAGATCACCAGAGAAGCAATGTGGGAACCAAATAAATCAAAACAGATGAGACATCGCTGCGCTGAGGGTGGTTTAATCTCGGTGCTGACTTTCACAAATTTTACAAGAACTTCGTCTACTACATAGGCCACTGTTTAAAATAGAAATGTCACAGGTTCGGGCTAACTTTAATCCTGCACTTCTTGAATATACCAGCTGAGGGTGGTGTCTGTGTGGCTGACCAGAGAATCAGGCCAAAATCTGAACTATTATTTCCTTTGGACTGAAATCTAGTACCCAGTGACAAAGGACTCTGGACCTCAAACAAAGCCTTTGCCAACTGGAGAGTGATTTTTCCATGAACTATGTTTCAGGTTGCAGAGGTTTAGGACATTTTCATTCTACTGAAACATTAATTAGTTGGTAGTCAGGAGACTGTTCCCCTCCTTAGAGTCGAAACTATAGCACAGAATGAATAAAAGTCATTCTGGGTTGCAAATCTTTGGCATCCTGATGTGCATCTACCAGTGAAAACAAGTCCCTGTGAAAGCTGGGTATTTCTAAATCCACATTCGTCTTTCCACAATTCCCAAGCATTTTCTGTCATTTATAAATGAATTCACTATACGCAGCCAGAAGCTTTCCCAAACTTAAATTTATATTGTGAACTGAAGTAAAAATCTTCAAATAATCTTGGATTCACCTGTTTGGTTGTATACCTAGCCTAAATATGTATCTTGAATTCCTCTTGCAAAAATTACTTCATTTATCTATCATGTTTCTGTATCTCCACTACTATAATTGGAAATACTAGTTTATTGGCTGTTTACCGACTAGTAACTTATTTGTTCCAGTCCTATTTACTGGAGATGCAGAAACTTAGCTGCTTTTTCTAAAATTGAAATATTCTTTGAGCTAACATTTTTTTTTTGATTGTTGAGTTCTGTAAATAATGGTGCTTATCCCACTTGCTGAGCTTGCCACCATCTCCTAATGCTGTGCTGCAGCGCGAGGAACACCCGTACAATACCTGGCAGAGCAGGAAGGGATGTCTTGTGCAATCCCTAAGAGTAATATCTCTGCTGATTTGCCAGGACTCCCTGTGCTGGTGATCATTAATCTTTCTCAGCCAAAAACAGATGGGGCTATTAGGCAGACTGCAGTAATGGGGGAAACTGGCAAGATACAGAAGGAAACACATTATCTTCTGGATAGAATTGCATGTAAAAATGAGAACATTAAAAATAAATTTTTCATATTTAATTGGACAATGTATGATTATACCTACCAGAAAATAATGTGCAATGTGTTTTGTGCAAGGCATTTGTAAAATGGATGGCTCAGCTGTGCTAGGGCCTTATTTTCCCCTACGGAGAGAAACACTAGCTACAATCCTGACAAGGTTTTTGAGCTTTTCACTCTAACTTACTTTGCTGTAAAAGCTACTGCAAAAGCTACTTACAAAGTGCCCTCACTTGTAGCAGTGCAAGGAAAATGCAGTTTATGATTTACATACAAACCACATAAAGCCTATCAGGTAAAATATCAGTACTTTAGAAATAATGTGAGCATATATGTTATTCAAACTAAAAAAAAAAATGTAGGGGAATTGTAAGTACAGCTGCTAATTCCTTTATGCCATTGAGGCCAGGATGATGATTACAAATGAAATAAAATGACATACTGCAAGTGAAAACAGATGGCTCACAAAGAAAACTTGCAAGGTTGGAAGGAATAACTGAAAGTAGAACTTTGAAATAAAACTGATAGATACTAAGGACTATTCAAGATAAATAAAGACATTTTTTAGGGTTGTCAGGTAGGCAAACATTAGATAACCCTTAGCCAGAAAAGTGACAGGATGGAAATTACAGCTAGACATATGAAGGTACACATTGTGATGATAGTGCAAAACTATGGAAGCACATCAGGAGGTTACAATAAGGAATTAAATAAAGGTAAGTACTTCAGCTAAAACTTAAATCAAAGAGCATTTTATATCAAAGAGAGAAGCATGAAAACAAAAAAAGGAGGATTAGGCATCTGCCAGCACTACTTGAAGTAGTAATTATGGTTGAAACATGTGGGATGTCAGAAGGTGACGGGACACTGGATTTGGAAAGATGCTCTTCAGACCCTGGTGCTGGAAGAGGCTTAGTGAGCTGCCAAGACTCCAGTGTCTCAAGTGAGTTAGGTAACATTTTTGGGAGAGGAAAAGGGAGACAAAGAACAAAATGTGTCAAGCCAGGACCCCAAATTAGAAGACTGCAAGAATTTTGTAGGACTTTCTGATCTCTTGACTAGGAGATTAGTTTTAAGAGATAAAAACACGGCTTTTTTTTCAAAACTCGGCCCCTCTAAACCTCATTGGGTTAAATTAGATACAAAAAAATAAAAACAAAAAAACACATTTTTTTTTCTTTTAAAAGAAGAATCAGAAGCCCTAAAAATAAACTAAAATCTTCAGATTCAAAATGGCTTATGAGCAGCAAAATAGTATGGTATTCCCCTAGATAAACAAAAGCCAATGACAAGGAAATGCTGGTATGATTCAACTGTAAATTTCCGAAGTTTTTCAGACTAAGCAGGGAGCCTTCAGAGAATGGAAATCAAAACTTTAAAGCTGAAAGAAAGATATATAGTAGTGAAGATGGAGACTGAGGAAGGGAATGTGAAAACTAGAGAAAACTGAAAACACACATCTGTTCAGTACATCAGAACAAAAAAACTTGAGAAAACTGGTAGGCCACCCCAAACAGTAAGTAGAGGGAGTAATTAAAGACAATATGGACATTGGCAAGAATCTAAATGATTTATTTGCATCAGTCTTCACCAGAGAGGGTAGTGGAGTGATATTTAAATGAGACTCGCACTTCCAAATAACAAAGGTAAGGAGAGGTCATAGACTGAAGACTTAAGAGAGGGGTTGATGGAACAAATCAATAAATCAAAGGCATTAAGTTACCAGGTTTATCTGATATTTTTTGAGAGTTCAGGAGAAATCTGAGAACTAAGTAACAGAAGCTGCTAACAAACATCTACTATAGCAGAGGCCTGGAAGACAGTCAGGGTTGTAACTGGGTCGGACATTTTTGCTCTTGCTAGTGGGTTTTATTTTTTTTTTCCCACTGTTGGAGGAATCCTGGCAGTTAGAGACAGGCAAGCAAATCTAATTTGCTACCAGGTAAATTGGCTGAAATTGGTACTGAAAAACAGCCCCTGTTCCTCTAAATTATGAAGCATGTAGACACACATGACATGACAGATACAAGTCACACAGTGTCTAAAAGGAAAAGAGGCTTCCTGAAACCACTAGCAACCCTTGAGCTGGTTACACCAGCCAGGCCCTAAGCCTGTCTGGGAGGTCCCAAAACCTGCTGCATGGATAGGAAAGTAGCAAATGAACACTTCTCCATTCCCCCATCCCCATCCCCTGAGCATCGAGGAGAGGATAACACTGGTGTTGGTAACGGTACATCCCAGTCATGTACATGTCTGTGCTACAGGCTGTTGCAGGGCAAGCTCTTCCATTCCTGGCCTTCCATTCCTGGCCAAGGACAGATGTACATCTGGAAATGAATGTTTTATGTATATATAACACTTAATGGTGGTTGCACTGATGCTTTTATGTGGGTACAGCCAGTGTTCAGCCTCTTTTAGGATAAGCTTTTGATGTCTTTTTTCAGATTATATGATCAACAGGACTTGGTGCTGCAGGGTTTTTCCCATTTGCAACAGTCACACCAGCTTGGGCTCTGAACAGTGAGTGATATGGGATTGGGGAGTTAAGATTTTTCTTTTTTTTTCTTTTTCTTTTTTTTTTAATGTAATATAACCTAGCCAGGACTGAGCAGTCATTTCACTTCTTTGCAGCCCTTCACAGCTTTTTATGCAAATCTTTAAATGAAGCCATTAAGAACAGAATTAAAAGTACTTTGGAAAATTATGCAGTGATGTATTCATATGCAGCCAAAACTCCCAGGGGAAAATGTAACAATTACACATAGCTTCCCACCCCTTCTTATTTCCTGTCAAAGATGTTGCCTTTTTTGGCTTTTCTTATATATACACAGCATGATGAACTGGTATTTGTAGTTTAAATGTCTCGTTTAACTGCGTGGTTTCCACTGTAACAGAAAGCTCTTGCAAAATGTCAGGTTAGAAATAAAACCAAGCTCTAGAGGGATGAGATGGAGAGAAAAATAGAAGATCTAGTGGCTGAAAAACAAAATGGAATAAATAAATGGAGCAGAATGCAATGCAGATCCATTTAACAGCCGAGTCAGTACGGTCCGTGTGAGGGTCTGGGGTAGGGAGAGACACGTTTCTCATTGAGTCATTTCTGCTTTCTCTATTAACATTGCAACAGAAATTACAAGTAGCCCTGCAAGGGGTAGTGCATTAAACCTCATCTCCTTATCCAATGTAAACGCAACATTAATACTGAAGAATAAAGAAAAGGGTAAAAAGTCCGGTGTCTTGTGTTTTGCTTGTTAGGTTTCCTGCCCACCCTCCAGAACATTCCTGCGTCTATCGATGCTGTGAACTTGACCATCGCACATTCAAGCAAACATTCACACTCAGATTCCCAGCACATTCACTTCTCACCCTTGAATGGGGAGTTTTTTCCCAGCAGTTCTGCTCCTTTTATTTATAAACTCCTTTAACGAAGTAGTTCTGAGACCTTGTAGCAGGCAGCAGGACAGCACCCAGTTGCCATGTTTATATTCCCTGTTCAGCAAAGAAGTCCACTTAAATCCCAAGGCCCAAGGCCTTCATGGATGGACATGCCCTGAAAGCATCTACAGGACAACTTTACCCAGCACAAAATGCCTTCTATGGAAAATCCAATTCTTGCCTAAAAAAGATAAAAGAGTTACAACCAGGCCCTTTATTTTACAAGACACACATGAACAAGTTGCTCAGGTGAAAACAGACCTTACACTAACAAGTTTTTTCACATTCTGGCATAACTATTGTTCTCCTTTACCGGACTACCAGACCTGAAGATGGAAAAGGAACACAAGGGTGACATTTCCTTGACAAGGAAAGAAATGGCATTTAGGATGGGGAAATGGCAGGGTAGGGCATAGAGGATTTTCCTGATAAAACAGAATTAATTTGAGCATAAAAGACCAACAGATATCATGTACACACCTAAACCAGTAACACACCTTCTCTACAGTGCAGTATTGTATAAGCGTCCCCTTAATTTTCAAGGCTAATTCCGACTTTTGGCTCATCCTGCATTAACAAGGTCATCCATGTTAACAGGGCCACTGCAAAAGTTCACAGGTGAAAGTTCCTTTTGGAGTAGTGCAGATGTGAAATTCACAGGACAGCGACCCGAAGATCTTCCTTTACAGATAAAAAGCATGTCAAATTATTAAATAGCAACATGAAATCCTATATTCTGAAGATCTGTCTTTGCTCTGCAGTTAAGAACAGCATTTCCAGCCTGTCCCCATTCCCCACCTCCTGTGGCATAGCAGGATTGTGGCTGGCCCCTCTCATTCACATCTCACGAATGCTAAAGCTGAAAGGCCCAGGGAAATCAGGGAAGGGGCTAATGAGCATAGTCTGACGACATGTCACTTCTCTACTGTTAGAATTGCCAGGTATGATATAAAAACAGAAAGTATTTCTCAGTTCAAAGTTTGAAGACGGGTCTCCAAACATGAAGTGGCTCCTCCCTTCGGTGTCTTTGATTCCCGTAAACGGGCTCCGTTGTGCTAGCTGTTGTTCTCTGCCGTGAGATATTTGAGAGCTGCAAAGCCGTAGTGGCGTGACATATCCTGCTGGAATTCCTCCTTCAGGGTCTTGAGACAGATGCGGTATTGCTTGTTGGAGCGAAACTTGGTGATGTCAAAGCTGGGGGCATGCGGCATGTGGATCATGTAGGCGTTGGGCAGCACTGTGAACTCGTACTCCTGGGGGAGAAAAAACAGTTGTAAGTGCACACAGTATGAACCTCAAGCACGCATGCAAATATATAATTTATCTTCTTCTAGGTTTTGGAATACGCTATAGTCACTTTGATCTCTCCAAAGACAGAATTTCTGTGGTCCTTATTGGTTTTTACTACAGCTGTTGTTGCATTGCCTTTTCAACCAAGAGGCTACAAGACAGTGGGCAGTGGAGAAACAGCTACAGAGCTCCTCCGGAGTGTGCTAGCTTTAAAAGAAATACTGCCCAACTTCTGCTTTTCCAACTCCAGTTACTTGTAGATTAAGGAATCTGTGCAAAGATGTGGAGTATCCGCAGCACGAAGGCAAAATATTCTGCATATTCCTATAAGAAATGTATGGGTAAGAACACACTTGTGAATGAGAACAAGAGTGCTCTCAAACAAAATCTGATAAAGGTGGAAGAGATTCAAAACTGCTGGGTCACGATGCTATTAGAAACCAACTCTGAACAACTCTGCTGGCAATGAGGCAGCTAAGGCTGCAGTGCTATCCCAGAGACACCTATGAAACAGCAGTACATGTCAGGCAGGCAGGTGCAGATGCAGCTTTATGGCTGCTCCTTTCTCATTATGGAAGTCCCTGTTCACTGCTGAATAGTGCTGAAGTGGTAAATCTTTCTGTCAAGTGATAGTGCTGTTGTACTTGGGAAGGGGCCCCTCTGAGCTTCTGCTTCGGATGACACGTATACAGTAAGAGCAAAACAATGTGATGTTTGCACGCAGGACTCCTTTAGCTGGAAGAGATTTAGTATTAATGGGGAACCAAACACAGAAACGAAGGCTGATGTGGTACCGAGAGGTGAGCAGACCAGCAACAAAACCTGTAATACATCTCCACAGGCACATAACATCTAGAGCTGAAACTACAAAGTAAGATATATTCCTCTCATAAAGTCTTTTCCACAGTCACTGGAAGAATGGGAAGGGTTTCTGAATGGCCGATCTCTGCTATAAGGAAAAGTCTCTTCAGAAAACAGTGTACTTGCTGTAACTTCTGTCCCTGTCTCACAAGTTATAAATTCTTCAGAGCCTGCCATTATCTGTGTATTTGTAAATTCAGTTCAGTGGACATGAGCGTGCCCCCAGAAGAGCAGTCATGGTTATCTCTGCCCTGGCTGCTGCTCTGAAGGACAGAAGCTGCATAGGCCCCTTGTAACGGAGCCTCACGCAACCCTCTTGACAGGTGCTGGAGTCGTGAGGAGCAGTGAAGTAGTTCAGTCCAGCAGCTGCTCTTCCTGCGGATAACGGAGCCAGCCCTGGACTCCTCGGAGCGGAGCAATGCCATGAGGCAGTGTTCCCTCTCTATAGGGAGGGGGTGTTGTCACATTTATCCCAAATCCTCCCCATTCACTTATGGAGCGGTCAGCCACAGAAGTCAGAATTCAGGAGAAGGATCAAAAAAAGAAAACACGACAGAGTAGTATAGTGGACTCTGAGCCGGCACGGAGAATGGTCCTGGTATTTCTAGCTGTCAAAGGGGAAGGTGGCTGTGCAAATCCACATCTCCTCCAGACTGAGGTTCTGTAAGAGGCTACCCCAGCATGCCTATTTCTTTCAATATTAGGGCAGTTTTAAGACTGAAAAACTGAGAAAAACCATCTCTCAGAATCAGTTCCAAATCAATGGCTAACTAAAATAGCTGCTATAATTCGATTAAAAAAAATCTTCTGAATTCTTCTGTACAAGAAGTCCATATGCTGGGCAAAACAGTCTCTGAACAAAAGAGTTAAACTGTGAGCGCTAGATAAGAGCAGCCACTGGAAAGGTAAGGTGTGCTATCCAGATTAACAAATAATTAATAATTATCCTGGCACTCTCCACTTCGATTAGTATTTGGAAAGTGCACTGGAAAAATGAAAGTGCCATCGCAGAGCAAAATATTATTATTGAGGATAATATGGACTATTTTTGTTTACTCTGCAATCATTTTTTTCTAAACATAAGTAGGTAAAGATTCATTGGGAATGCCCTTTTGCAAACAGAGGTGAGTGGCAGCCAGCCCAAAGTGACCATGTAGCATTGTATGTATTGATGCCAGTCTGAGACTTTATAGGTTTCCCTGGATTTTTTATTTTTATATATTGTGCTGAGCAGCTCCATCCTAAAGCCACAGACTCATGAGGCAAAGAGCCCAGATATAAGGTATCTGGATCCTTTAGGTCTGCTTCACAGCCAGAGATCATGAAAATATAAAGCCTTTGGCTCTGCAGAGATACACTCTAAATCCAGGCCAGTAAATGAAGATGCTTGCTTTTGATTCAATTTAACATTGATTTTTTTGAATTCTAGATTAGCACTTAGGACTGACCAAAGCTTGTGTAACTAAGAAACTTCCAGCTAACTCTATAGCTCTCTTAGTAGCTGATGAGATTGCCAAAAAGTACTGCAATACTCGGGACACCGTTGGGGAAAAGGAGGGCACAACAGGGATAGTTCCACCCTGAGACAACAGATTTCTCAGCACTGATAAATGAATTCACTCAGAAACTGTTCTCCTTGATCAGCAAGTACTAAACTGGGTATTTCCAACTCAAAGAGTACTCATTAAACAGTTCAGTAAGGCCAAAGGAGCAATTCGGTGATGCAAAGTGTGAACCTATTCTACAGAAGATGAACATACGTAACTACTCCGCCGCCCCTTGGTGAGATATGAAGAAGCCGCCTCCTCACCTGCGCATCCAGTTCCATGATGTGAGCTACTTTGTTCCAGCCAAATCCAACAAACCGCCTGTCGTACTCGGGGCAGTCCTTCCTCACAACCACGTACGGCTCGAAGTCTGCTTCCCACTCCACGCGGTACGGCGTCGTGGCCGTCCGCCACTTGGCAAAGTTCGTTGGCGCGTGCCCTTTTGTCCAGACGTGATACCTTGAACAGACATTAATGGCATGGACATGGGGAAGCAATTAAATAGTGAGCATCTTGGCAAGGCTACAGAAGTTACTTGCTAGATAGAATGGTCAAAAATGAGGACCTTAGTTCGCAGTTCACATCATCATTTTCAGGACACATCAGAGGCAATTTCTAGTACTATTTCCAACAGACTTCCCAGGCTTTCTATGTGCTCAGTGCTTAAGCACATCTAGTTGGTGAAGGAAAGTGTGAAAAAGCTACCTAACACTACTGCTGGTGTGAGAAACAATTACAAAGTACACAGACAGTTGGTCTTTGACAAGTGCTGTGTCTCTTTTCTAGGAACCAAGTGGCTGCAACGGTGCTCCAAAATTAGCATGAAATTCTGCAGTTCAGATAAGGCCCCTGAGAACCAGCTATTTCTACACCACAGTAACATTCATGGTCTGCTTGATATGTAATTTTATAATTTGTATGAGAGATACCTGCAGTTCCGGATAGATGTTCTTTTTTATTAATTACTATTATTATTATGGTAGGAGCCAAAGTGTCTAATTAAGTTAATAAGTAAAACACTACATAAAGGCTTTCTGCCGTACTTTTCACATTGTAGGGAGTGCTTGTGTGATCCCAAGTAAGATAATCAATTTGATTTACACAAAAAAAAATCCTTTTATAGTTCGTTAATCTTACTTAGACTGCAGCAGGTCCCTCCCAAGCCCAGCTTGAATCCCCCCCATTAGTGTCGGGGTCAATGATTCTCTCGCCCACTTACTCTTCTTACACCTTCCCAAAAATCAATGAGACAGGCTCTTTCTGCAGACTCATAGATTAAATAATGAAACAAAAGCATAGCAGCCATTTGTATCACAGTGCTCCGGGATGTGTAACAGAAGGAGTAAAACAAACATTCTGCTCGTAGGTAAGGCAAGCTACATTGAAATCACAGGCACGACTCGGGTGCTAAAAGTGAAGGGATTTAATCGTTAAGTATTTAGAGAATTAGGACCTCAGGCAATGTTCCAACCTCACGAATTCTGATATCATTGCAAGCCTCCACTGCTCGAAACAGAGAGTTAAACATCACAACCTAGAAGGTTACACTTTGGCTGTATGTTTGTGTAACTTATAACAGAAAAACAGATTGGTGCTCAGTTTCTCTGACACCCTTTGTTAAGGGGACGTGCTGAAGGACAGAGTTATCAGGATAGCAGTTGGGACCCAAGTAATTTACATTACTCTGAAAGCTGCATTTCTAAATTAGAGTAAGGTTGCATCACTTTCAGGCATCTGGCTGGTGGAAGTTTTGTCTTATTTTCTTCATCTACTTCTTCTTTTAATAAAATTTCAAATGCAAACCTTGCTAAAGATACCAGAATTAAATCTTTATTCTTCTCAGAGTGTTCTTGCTCCCTGCCTTTTCCCTCCAAGCTTCACATTTCAGTGAGAAAATGATTTAGTGAAATAAAAGCCTTCCTTGTTCTGTTTTCAGATGCTGAAGCATTTTGCTGGGTTGTAGATGCAATCAATTAATTACTTAATCAGCTGCTGATTATGTTTTCTCAAAATGATGCATCTTCTACCAACTGCAGTTCTCCTTGTGACTGAAAGCAGTCTCACTGCCATGGAGAGTTTCCACACAGTTTACCTTGCCAGCCACAGATGCTCACAGGTTGTCTTCTTTTCTTCTTTTGGTGCTGACTAGGGGATGCAATTGAGAGCTGGTTTGTGCTTCTTAGCTGCCCAGAGGCAGAGAAGGTCACCATTTGGAAAAGAGGTGACAAAAGCAATTTCACTGAGGGAAAGATTGTAATCTGCCATGTGGTGTGAGGGACAGGGATGCTGCAGGCACTCACAGCAATCACTGTCACAGCAGCCTTCCTTCCAGCTCACTCCCACCAGCTCAGCCTCCAATTGCTGTGTTATTAAACCTGCACCTTGAAAGGGCAGGTGGAAATTCTCAGCCCAGATCACAGCTGCTATGTGGCTGTTGATAGATTTGAGCAAAGAAAATGAGCCAACGCAAGCTAGGGAAGTATTTGTAAAAAGTGTCCCACATCATTAACAAGCAAACCAACTACAGATCTCATGTCCTTCAATTCTTATTTAACCCTGCTCTGGCAAAACTCCCACTGATGTTAAAGCGAGATTTGGGAAAGGACCTGCAAATCAGGCTGCATGTCTAACAAGCCAATGTGCTGTACAATTCCAAGATCAAATCTGTGGTTGAAGACCACTGCTGTGCAGGTTGAAAATTTGATTGTTGGTGGAGTGTAACATCAGAAGTAAAACCCTGAGGGTGTTACCTTCCACTAGAAGGATTTTTTTTCAACTGCAGGAGAAATATATTTTTTTTCTATCAACAAATCTCTTTTTAATTTGTACTTTTTTCTGCTGTTAGAGAATAATGTGAGAGGGCAAGATGCTTGCTTAGTATTCTTGGACAATTTTCCAGAGAGCCATATGCATCTCCAGTATCTGGACCACCTCAGGTTTCCATTTCAAGGTAGGCCCTGGTAGAAGTAGTGTCAGAGTGATGTTCTCCAGCACCACACAGGCTGTTACCACAGGGTGGAAGGAAGAGTGTCTGCTGCAAGGAGAGCGTGTATGATACAGAAAATGGCAGCAGGGTTAAAAAAGCTCAAAGGTAAGGAAAGGAAGGGAGAGGCAGTAAAGAGCTCCTTTGGTTATAGATAATGACTAGCATTTTTAACGCTATTTCCATCTCTAGATCTCAAGATACTGTACAAAGGACAGGGGGACACTGTTTCCTGCCTTTCACAGTTTGGGAACGAAGACATAGGACAGCAAAGTAGTTTTCAGACCATCCCCCAGCACAGAAGTAGTAGAGCTGAGAAGAGAGCCAAGTTCCTATGCTCTTTCCTGTGCAATAGCATAAGGCCATATTATACTCCTTCCATCACTGCGATGTTTAAAAACATCTAATTACACCTCACCATACACCCAAGAGGCAGTTAATGCTTGGTAGTCACATTTTGAAACTAATTAATCTGTGGCAGATAATGGGAGTGACTTGCTCACAGCCCCAAAAGGAGACTACTTCAGAAAAGAGCTCCAAGTTCAGGTGCTCTTGGCTTCTTTACAGTCAGAACACACTGTTTGGTTCCTGCATGGAGAAATTCTATTTAAGCAGTTGTTTCATACTTTAAAAGATACATGACGAGCCTGCATTCGTTTTCCAAAGAGCCAGTAATGAAGTGAACCAATGAACAGAAAGAAATTATTTGTGGACACATGAATGATAGAGCTACCTCAATAGTATTTGGCAGTCCCCAAAGCAAATTACATGCACAGGAATGTAATGGTCTCGCCTGATTTTGCAGCACAATAAAAAATAATGAAAATAAAATAAATACAATTTAGCAACTGAAGTCCTTCCGAAGAGCAGTATAATACTAGAGAAAATGCTGAGCTTACAGATGGGATATATCCACATGATGCTGTTCATTGCCTCTCTTTGAAAGGGGAGAGGGAAAATCAAACACATTATTTAATGGAGCTGGCTAGCTGAACGAGAGAAATCAAATATTCACAGAACAGTAAAATAAATCTTTAGAGATAATTACCACAGGTTCAACAAAAACATTTTCTGCTACCTGAATGTGAAGAGGGTTCCCATGTCCAACATAGAGAGCAGCTCTGCTTTTGACTTGGGGAAGGAGAGGCGATAGCGCAGGGTCTCAAAAGCAGGTACGATCAGAGCTTTCTTGGTGTTGGCCAAGTCCAACTGAGTGACGGACTTCCTGGCAGAGAGAAGCAACAAATACAAGTCAGCAAATTCCAACTTGAGCTTTTCAAAAATAAAAAGTACAGAAAGGGTGGTTTAATATTGTAAATGTGACTGTGACTCACATTTTTTCCCTGGGTTGTCTTGTATTTTTCTCTCTCTTTTTTTTTAATCTACTGCTTTAAGAGCAAGAAGTAAAATACTTTTCAAAAAGAGTATGATGTCTGAGGTGTGCTTGAGTGATCAGTGCTACCTGCATGTCCACAGAAATGATCTATCACTCTGAGTACAAGTGCTGAGTCCCATAAGAGAAACACAGTCAGATCTGTTTATTTTACTACAGATTAAGTGAAAGTGCTGCCCGGACAATGATAGATCTAACAAAAAAAGGCATTTATGCAGAACTCAGGGGGGACTTCACAAGAGGAGGAACTGGGCAGTGTAGCTACACTTTAGCCTAGCCCTTGTCTGGGCTTTCTGGGCCATCATACTTCCTTTTTACCTCTGCTTTACATCCCTGAGAGGTAAGTATAAACTCACTATGCACCAGCCAGTTGTCCACACAAACACTGGATGCTGCATTGGTCAGTCCTCGCTCAAGGCGCAGAAGCATTGCAATAGGACGGGATGCAAATTAGCAAAAATGCAAACTGACAGAAGTTCATTAGTGTTATTATTATTCACACATGCCGCAGTGCTTGGAGGTAGGAGCTCGTCCGTGCTCAGTGCTGTATGCAGAGCAGAGGCTGGCCTGTGCATGGGGTTACCTTGCTCTTCACCCTCTGCGGCGAGCTGGTCAGCGCTGAACCCATCGCACAGCGTGTGCGCACCCTGCGCTTCGCACAGCGGGGACTTTTCCTAGACAGGGCCCCTGGGGTGATTGCTGCAGGAGAGCAGCAGCTTAGCAATCTTAGGCACCACCTGCCAGAGGTATTCAGTCTTTTCTTTCCTAACAAACTAAAACCCAGAAAGAAGAAAGTGACGCTACTTTTCCACTCCCAGACTGAATCTTGCCTGAATGCTTGCCATTAGAAATAGCTCCGTCCTGGTTTTCCTTTCATTATCTTCATATATCATATGAGAAGTCTCCCTCTCTCCCTCTGTCAAAATCAGTTCACCTTAACAGGATTCGCTGTCCTTGACTTTTATGTCACTGTAACAAGCAATCAAGAATAATGTTGAAGAACAACAAACTTTCTACGGCCTTTTAAGATGAAGAAATTGGGATTGCTATTGTAACACTAGAAAGGGCTTTTCTAAGCCTAGAATACCTAGAATTCATTTCTATTGCCATCAGAGAAGAACAGGGTTATTTAATAAAATTAGAATTTTAGAGAATTCATATCAGCTCTATTCTATAATATGAACCTGCTCTTGGTGACTTATTGGAAAGTTTGCATTGTTTTAAGAACCACTGCTACATTCCAATGAACTTTTCACAACTGAAGGATTTTAACAGCTTCTTATTATAACTTTTCTGTACTTTCTTGGTATCTTCTCCCTCACTGTCACTAATGGGCAAGATATCTGCATGTAAATAGATGACTCCTTCACAATCTGCCTCCTCAACCTTCCTGAATCACTGAGCAGTGCCAGCATCCAGTCTGGATGACATTCCTAATGATTCTTCCCCTTCTCACCTTCTTGCAAGCACTGCATGCTAACATGGTTTTTCTGACAATGTCTTTGGCTTTGGGCCTCTATTCAAACTGTCAGCTTTGAGCTATGCATCTTCGGGTGTTCACGTCTAGGTAGGAACATGTGATGTTTGCAGTGATGCAAAGGGAACAGCTGCTTCAGTCTATGGCTGCTGCTCTCTTTTTGTCTGATGGGGAGCTTAAAAGTCCGAAGCAAAGGTCAAGGTCCCACTGTGCTTGGCAGTGTGCAAAGGTTGGAAACAATCCTGCCCACAAAAGCTCACAGTCTGATATAGGACAAAGCTCAAGTAGGTGTAGGTATCAAGCAAGGGTAACAGCAGGGACTGCCAAGTGGAGTAAGCTGTGGTGAAACCAGGGTTCAGCATGCTGGTTTTGTAAGGTATGGCATACAAACAAAAAGTGATGTGGATATCAATAGTCTTTGCTGCAAACTCCTCACTTTTATCAACTGCAGATTTATATAGGTGTCAAAAGCATAACTGAATCTTGAAAAGAGCAGAAGACAGTACTCTTATGAATAAAAGTGAAAAGAAGCGTGAACAGGCAGATACATGAGGCTGAAAGCACTGTCATAATCAAAAGTCAGGATGAAAAGACAAGCATGTGGAGAGAAGCAGATAACTGAAAACAAGATGCTTGTGGTGGTTGCAGCCAAACCCAGAGAACTGGTGAGGGTATTTCAAAGATGCAATAACATATTGGGATAATCTACACAGAAATAATTTCAAGAAATATGTGAGCATCTGAGGGGGGATGTTATTATGGTCAAAGTGGAAGGTTTCACTGTAACTGAGCCGAGGCTTGGGACAGGCCCAGTCAAGAACTCCAGTAACATGAATCTCCAAGTAGAGCAGCTTGTGATGAGGGCCAGATTACATAAGGGACTAAAGTAAGCAGAAGAAGGCATCAGAGAGGACAGTGATGACCACAGGATAGGGCAGAACATAAGACTTTTGATGTTTTTGATGATTATTTGCTTGTAAGTAAAGGGCCTATCTTAAGTTCCATACATAAACAACATGACCCAGCCCAGCAAGGTTAAGGTTTCTCCTTTTTGCCTATTACTTCACATTCTCAGTACCAATGAAATATTCTTTAGGAATTAATTTTCTAGAGTCATCATCCTCATTACTATCTAACCTCCTATCAGAAACAACTTTGTTTTTCATTTCCTATGCGGTGATTTTTTTCATGTTTGATGGAAGGTGCCTTTTGCTTGCTGATTGGTTCTGTGATACATAGAAGAGGAAAATTTCTACTATTAGTGTTGAAAGATAGGTGAAATATAAAACCAATAACACATTAGGTTATTTTGCAAATCAGCATTGGGGAAACTGTTTAATTCTTACAGTACCCTTGTGAGAGCCATTTTTTTTGGATTCGGTAATATAGTTTCATGGCCCATTCTTCCATATTTGTCATTTCCCAAAACTCCCAAAATAAGGATATATAATTTTGTGAAGAGCTTTCTCTTCGCTAGTGTTGTCTGGGAAACCGTTTCCCAGGCATCTTTGTGTTCAGACCTGATGTATGTCACTGCACACAGAAGGCCGGGCTAAATTTCTAATCTACTAAGAAACCCTGTTTTTTTGCGAGACATGGAAGAAATAAACCTTAAACCTTAATCTTAAGTCTCTTTGGAGGTTGAACTAACTCCAGCACATTGAGATCAGTTCTTTCATCTTCACATTCCTTTACAAAAATTAACAAGTAATTCTCCTTCCTGTCTGAACAGACATTAAGTATCATCCCCTTTTTGGAGGATGGGAAAGCTCAGAGAAAGTTTACCAACCTAACCCTAAACCCTTGAAGCTGAAAAAAAATCAATCTGTTAATTCAAATAATTTGCTTTCATCATCTGGATGCTAATCGATTAGTTCAAGAACAATGTACCAAGCAGACACATAGCTTGTTTTAAGATCTGAAGAGCTGTCAGTCCAGTGGTAAAATCATTAGAACATTCCTTCTCTCTGCAAAAACAGCGAATGTATAACCTACAAATGCGTCCAACAAATAAAAATTAGCAGTCAGAACATGAAGCTTGTCTCTTGCTGAGAGGCTAAAGAGCAACTTCACAAATGAGTTTGGAAAGGAGAGGTAGAAAACCTGTGGCTAGAGCTTGGATACAAGTTCTCATTCATGCTAAATGTGTCACTGTAAGGACCTAGTTTACACAAATCTATCAGGAAGGACATTCAACAATAGTGGTCAGTGACGACTGTAGATACTATAAAGAAATGGCCTGTCTAGTTATAATTTGGTAAGACCCTTTAGGATGGCACACAAACCTTACATATGGCAATCAGAAAGAGCCTCCAGCTCTGTGGCAGTAACAAGATGACCTCAGTAATTAATAACTGAAGTGACAAAGGGCTTCTACTCAACGGAGACTACAGAAGTCTCTGAGTTTTGTAAACAGGAAATCCTTAAATGATACATTTATTTCCCTGTGTACTTTACAGAAGAATAAGGTGGGACAAAAACAGGTTTTGATGGAGATTAAAAGCATTGAAATGGCCTTACTTAACAGCTGTGGAAAAGCTCAGACTAAGTGCTGGTAACAGATACATAAAGGGACAACTAACCATAAGCTCTTCCTTCAAAAACCCTTCATGCTGTATGTCAAAATGTTTTTCAACATTCCTCTCCTAGAATATTATGCAGATCCACAGTCTACAGTCTATGTAAAACAGTAAAAAGTGAGGACTTGTCCTATACAAAGCCATACCTAAAACACCACACTATTTCTATTTACTTACAGTTATTCTATCTGAGAAAATAAAGATGAAAATAGCCTTTCTAAAGAACAGTTGCTAATATTCGGATAGATAGCACTAATCAGCTCTCTGCAGAGTCAATGTAGAAAGATACAGGGTATTAGTATTTAAAATAATCTCATAGGCCCCCTGCTATTTTCCTCAGAAAAAAATAATCATTACTTAAACAGCTATAAAAGATTCTTGTCCATACACAAAAAAAATCCAATTCCTTTTTAATGAGCTGGTACTAGCAAATTAGCAATTTTGACATTCCTGGGAAGCAGAGGCTCACAATCAGACTTAAGCCAGTGTGAGACTCACAAAAAGACTTGTAGAGTCACACAAGGTCTCAGATGCAATAATTTTCAGTTTTCAGTTTCTGTTTTCTTTCTGAATGGCACCAATGGGTGGCATCATTGTGCATTTAGTCCTGTGCTTCCTTATCATCATCTGAGAATAATTTCCATGGCTGTAATGTTTCAAGTATATTGTGGTACATCATTCTGTCTTCTCTTTTCAAGTGTTGCCTCCCATCAGTGCACTGCGAAGCAGCACGGAGGATCAGACTGCTCTTTTCGCTAAGACATGAGAGTATCAACAGATGCAATCCTTACTGTGCCCAGCACCAAGCTGACAAAACGTATCCTAAACAGCAGTAACATAAAAGAGCAGAAAAGCTAATAAAATAGTCCCCATGCACATCCTGAAACAGTTACTTTTTGCCAGGGACAGAATTCCTTTGTGGTCCACATAGACGAAGTCAAGGAGAAATATCCCTAAAATGAGTGAGAAACAATGTGACACCATGGTGTGTAACTTAAATGATATTAATCCCCATGATTTTAAACAACAGAGTGAATTTGGCCCAGAGTATGAATGTAGAAAGTAAGAAAGGCAGTTAAGTCTACGTCTGAGGTGCAAGAGACAGAAAGAAGAAACTTAGCTGTAGCTTGAAACAAAGGAATTTGTCTTCAAGTTCATGCTACAGGAAAGTATATATTTCTTTATACTCCAGAAACGTGGGAGTGCACTACGCATTTAATGGAACACCTACAGGCAAGTTCTCATTGGAACCCTTTGCAAAATTTAGAGAGAGATGAAAAGCAACATTGTCAGTGATTAAGAAAATGAAATCCTCCTGTCTGGCCACAGGGAGTCCTCCTTGCTCTATTCTTTGCCCTCAGATGACCATCCTCTGCAAGAGGTTTTTATTAAAGGAAACTGTGCTAATGGATCAGAGGCTCAGCCCAACCAGCTCACAGTTTTTATGATACAATTCACACTGAAGTTACTCTTCCCCTTTTCCTTATACTAATTATTTGGCCTTGACAGGTGCTGGCCTTGCAATCATATTATTGAGATGATTACACTATCACTCTATTTGCAAGGCATGGAACTGGATTAAGAGTCTGTCATAGGCACAACAAGTTCAGTGAGATTTTGCACACTTTCTTCCAACACTCAGAAACTGGGATGTTTAGGGAAATTGCGTGGTTCACATCTCTGCTAATATAGGAAGCTATTGCACATTTAACAATGCTTAGTCCAGGTCAGTTTTCAAGCTGATTCTTCTGTTGCAGCAAGAGAATTACTCTGATAGTTAGCAGAGCTCGCATTTAGATCTGACTTTTTTCCCTTAATCATATTACCTTACTTCTAATTACAGCCTCTTCTTCTACCCTAAAAACATTTATTTTCCTTTGCTGGGCACTGCCAAATCAAATATTTATTTAAGCTGTTTAATATGCCCTCTTTCAGACCTGGTCAAATTTCATTGCTTCAGCAATGAGTTAGAAGTTTGACTGTTGGAGTAGCTGGAAAACTGGATAGCAGCGGGAAACACCACAGTGTCTTCTTACCTGAGGTACTCATAGAGTCCATACATGGGCAAGAAGTCAATGTCAGAAAGAAACATGTATGGTGTGCTGATATGCTTCATGGCCACATTGCGCAGGAGATTCACAGGGTAGAACTGGCCCTCCTTGTACACGATGTGGTATCCAACATTGTGACGGCTCATCAGGACTTCTGAGCCCTGGGCATAGCGCAGGAATTGCTGAGCTTCTGCATCCGAGAGATAGAGTGCCAGGCTGATTGGACCTTCCCAGTGTTTGCAGATGGCTTCAAGCATCTGGAGCCTGAAAGAGGAAGGGAAGAATAGGATAAGTATGTCTCCCTGACTGGGACTCTTTGCTTGTGATTCATCTGATCAAATACAGATATCTATATCTAAGCGAGACAGATTGGGGTCACTCTATATCCTGTGGAAAGCAATAAACATTTCTACAGCACAATTCATCTCATCTAACTCAATGTTTCTTTCTGGACAGATGCAGTGCACCATAGCTATGGCTATTTTTTTCCACTGAATACCAGGGTGTCTACAGCAACTGTAGCTCAGATAGATACAAACATACACAATGCAAGTACCTAAATTCAAGAAAAATCATCACTACTTCTTTCTGCCTCAAGCCTCAATACAGCAAGAAACTCCCAAACGATAACTGCCTTCTGGTGTTAACTTGGAGCATTTGCAGGGATCTGTCCGTGCAGGTCGACTTACAGGACAGGGGTCTTGTAATCTTAAGAAAGCCTAGTTGCTCAGTTCACATGCTAGGTTAAGGTAGTCTCACACACCAACACACCACCATGCCTTCCCAGAAGTTTGTGGAGGATGAACGGTGTACAAACCTGCACACCATTTTGTCCACTGTTAGGAAATATTCCCCAAATTTTTGCAAAGCAGTGAGTCAGATCTTAGAAGCTGTTGAAAGTGATGGGTCAAGGGAATAGTGAGTTATAAGAACACTTGCACTGACCAAAACAAAATGTGCTGTCAAGGAAAGGGCCAAGGATGAAACATCAATAGAAATGAAAATGATATTGCATGGCTACCAAGTATAAACAAACAAAAAACACTTCAAATAAAAATATCCTTTTAAATATTATATTTCTGTATGTTACAGCAGTACCTACTCAGGCTTCACAAAATGGCATATCAATGTATATACTTTCAAATACACATAATTTACAACATTATTGATGAAAAAGACAGCAAAAGATCTCATGCAAAGTTAAATCAAATTCAGTCTAGTCAAAATAGTTCAGGCATTTTGGCAAATTTATACTGAACTGACTAGAGATTAAGATCTAGTGCCTGAAAATACATCAAGACTGATTATAAAGCCTCTTCGGTTAATGTAAAAAGAAATGAACCTATGTAGCCAAGCTAGATGTTCTATTGAAAATTAGGAAGAGCAGACTAGGCAACATGATTATCTTTTCTACCTTTCAAATCTACATTAGTAGATTTTTCCTATTAATATTTATGCAGAACACAAAAAAGTTTTCTGCATCATTGTAATCAAAGAAAATAATTTCCCTTTTCTACTATCTCTCTAAGCTTTGCAGCAAAAAGGGATGATATAGTCATACCAGCAAATACAAATTCTGATTTAACATTAATAGCTTTTTTTCACTGTGTTTCTGAATGATCCCGATGACATCCAAGAAGATATAATCATTTTTTTTCTTAGATATGAGATATTACATTTACTAGTCTATACTCGGTACATTATTTTCTTTTTATCTATTATTGAAACAAAGGTTATTATCAGCTTGAAACATACAGCTGAATTAGAACACAAATTGATAAAAAGGATCTCAAAAGCATGTGAAGGCTTCAGGCTTTTGATTGTGCAAATAATAAATAAAGTATACGCTTTTTGCCTTTTTCCAACACAGCGAAAACTTATTTATCAGGAGATTCCAACTCATCTTTCCTTGTCCACATTCTTACATTTTTTAAACCTTCTTTCTGATTTCTGAATCCTAGTTATTCACCATCCCTTTAAAAAGGTTGTCTAGCCAAAACATCCCGTTGAAAATCCCATTCATAGTCCATGATACGACTAAGCCATTATTACAGAAAATGTCACACCAGTGCAAAATGTGACAGTTAAACAATAACAAACAGCACCGAACAAAGTCACCCTCGGTGCTTGTATCTGAAGATATTACTGCTGGCTCCTAAAATGCACCATTGCTCTCCATTCCCCAGGCCTACAGTACAAACACACGTAAACCTGTCACCTTAGACGTGTCACTCTCAGCTCCAGTGGGACTGAAACCGGAGATTGGCTTTTTGGGCTTTCCTTATTTCAGGCAGTCACTCGAATGAATGATGCAGGGGTGTAGGAAATAGAACACTGTTTATGTACATGTCATCTTACATCTGAGGTGCTATGTAAATGTCTATAGTGACTCTGGAGGAATTTAGTAAATGTGGTCTAAAGAAGACTCAAAAATACGGCAGCAACTGAAAGAGGTGAAAAAAAACAAAACGGCTAAACACTTCTTTGGTATGATATTATTTATTGATTTTAGCTGAAAGAGAGTATTTCCAACCCAAATCAATAATTTATAGCAACACACCAATGAAGCAGGGAAGATTTTTCCTGCACAGTATCAGGAGAGTTGTTCTATCTGAATAAAAATGTGTGGTTCTGTCTATCAATAAAAACATGTGCCCCGGTGAGGATCCAGAAAGAGAAACAGATGCTCAGACCTTGCATCAGTGCCAGTGAAACAGCACCAAGCTGCAGCTCATTCTTTTGAATTAAATTCTAGAGGGAAAATACACCATGTGCACACACCAGCTTTCCTAATTTATTGTGGCATTCGCTGGGGGTCTGACTTAATTTATTTCTTTAGTTTTTTCACTCAAAGGTTTGTGAACACTCAAGAAATGTTTCCTCAATTAAAAATCAATAGAACAGACACCGATGAGCATAGCAAATCATAATAGGATGTGCACGATGCAGAGCTGAGGTACTGGTAAAGCAAAATAGCCCTCATTTGTGTTTATTTTTAAAACAGGCTGTGAATGTTCTGTTGTTCTGAACCCCTCCGACCCTCCCTGGAATACAGCTGACCTTCCACTGCCTTAGCATCCACGGTGTTCACACGGCATGTTGCATTCCTTATGTGCACTGCTGAAGGAAGCTACATGGCCTGCTTATATTCAAGTCGTTCTGGTCTGTTTTGTAACTCTGATTGCAACAACAATGAAGTTTGGGTTAGGTTTGAATTAAGAAGAAGAAAGAAAAAGAGACTGACCATCTCAAAATACAACTGAGTTGCCTGATCTGGAAAAGCAATGGTTAGAATTTGAAAGGTGCAGCTAAATCTTGGCATGGAATTGATTGTTTTTTTCCCCAAAGGAACTATCAGCATTTGAAATTTCTACTTTACATCAGAACTGAAAGTTGAAAAGACTTAAATTGGAAAAATTACCTGAAAATCAACATTTGAGTTAAAATGCAGACTCCTCTCAAAAGGAGTTTTAATTTCACACTAGAACCTTTACATAAAAACATTTATTTTAAATCACTGGATTTAAAACAAAAATGTTCAAATTTGATTCTCACTATAAGAAAAATCAAATCATTATTTGAATGCTTCCACAAGGAAATTGTCAATGAAATTAAAACTAGCATTGCCTAATGCAGAAATACTATACTTGTGACCAGATACCATTCCGCACCTAAATCCATCAAAATTGTCTCTTTTTTGTTTCTAAGATTCTGTAAAAAAAACTCCACCAACTAATAACGTCTTTCTGTCCTGAGAGAAAACCACCCCTGTTCTTCAGTAATGAAACCTCTTATGAGCTCTGTAAAAGTCCACTGCAGAGCTGAAGTACAGATATATGTGTAATACTTACATGTGCTGCTCCAAATTTCAAGCAGGACTTAAAACAGAGTATTTCAGTTTTCTGTGAAGATAATTTTCTCTCTCCCTGAATCATTACAAAGCTGGATTTCTGGAGTTCTTACATTCTAAGAACAGATTCATTGTCCTTCACTTCGTGCTGAACAAGAGGTCTTTCCTACCTGTCCATGGAAAGCTGAGCCACCAGCGTTACGTCAGTGTTGTCTGAAGCAGGCTCATATTCGTAATGTAGAAAATACAGATGAGTACGATGGACGGTGAAACGTTCTCGTCGAAATTCGTAGCATAAATCATCCTCATCCAGCTCAGACAGTTGTTTCTGGAGCTGCAAGGAAAGAGGGGACAGAAAGATACCTTCTTTACAATTCCATGTGCCATCAAGAGAGGAAAAGGACAAGTTTGGGGAACTTGCAGTATGAGGCCACAAGGAGATTAAGGGAGGCAGACAGAGGATCAGGGATTTCCCAACTTCCATTCCACTGCCCCTGTTGGAAGAGAGTTAACCTCTGGTAGATGGAAAAATAACATCTTAAACTGACCATTAATTAATGCCTTGAGACTTATGGATTTGTACCAGTTTAATTTTGCACTGAAATTACTCATTCAGCTATAGCTGACAGTATTAAGCCTACATTTTTAACAGGATTTGTAATTCTGGATACCCAGTTTGAGCAGTCCAAAAATGTCAGATTAACAGAAAACAGGTATTTTTTGATTCCTCTGAGAATCAAGCCCTTTCAAAGTCAAAATGAGCCTCTCAAAAGAAAGTACTCCAATTTTTAGTCACTTCAGTGTGTATTTTTAAGAGGAAAGAAAGCTCAGCTCCGGGAAAAGAAGGGAGAGAAAAATGACCAACTCCCTCTATGTCAGGCCAATTCCGTTCCTGAACTAAATTGCCTAAAAGCCAAGAAATTGGCTGGATTATTCGAAAGAGTCTTAAAAAAAAAAAAAAAAAAAAAAAGAGCATCCTTGTTGCAAAATGTCCTACAAAATATAATGAGAGTAAAAACTATTTATGGTCTTAACGCATCAAACTAAGCTCTTTCTGAGTTGCTCTAAAATGTAGATTTATAAAAGTAACATTCATATACCTTATTTCTTAAATGCATCCAATAAGGAGGATAGGATTAACCAGAAAAAAAAAGTAAGTTAAAATTATTTTAACTATTTTATAGTAATTTTTTACAGGATTTAACAAAAATTACAGTTCATTTGAAAATTCTTTTGTGAAACAGTTTATGAATCATATACATATTTTCAGATTTAAACATATCTTGTTTTGGCCCTGTTCAGAATGACATAAAGTAATATTTTTGACACTATTTTTAAGAAAAGAATTGAAAAATACGGGAGTTTCTTGTTGTAATACTTAGAGAAGAAAAGCTCTTGTTCTTGGAACTGTAAGTATAATGGTTGCTGTCAACCATAATGCTCACAGCTGGATTGTTTTCCTGTGAAGCCTGATGGAATAATTCCTGATATTTTCCTGTATATTACTCTTTAATCTTCTTTTGAATAATGGAAACACCCCCTTTGATTTCAAAGAGCTTTGGATCAGCCTCTGGTTCTTCCTTATTATTGTTCAACAGGGATCTTAAAACAGCACCCGAGAGAGACTGCTTTTAGAAAGATGAGAGTCCAAATCTTGACAAATCTTTGCTCAAGCAAAACTTCTGTTGAAATCAGGTTTCTTTTGGTGGAATAGAAATCAGACTTCTTTTACATCTTGTTGAAGTTTCATTCATTCTGCTGTACAAATCATCATTCAGCTGAGCCCCTACTTCATTTTCCAAAGCACATTCAAACAGTCTGTGAATTAAAATCCGATATTGACAATGACAACAAAGAATATTTTAGAATTTCTGTTTCTTCCTTGATCAGAGACATTAGTACGCCCCTCTCGGAATTATCAATCCACCTTAAGCTTATGTGGTTAAAAACTCAGCACAGCAGTTTTCGAGGACACCTTACTATTCTACTTTACATGCAAATGACCTGGCTAGAAGTTTATAATTGCAGAGCAGCTATTAACCAGCCAGTCACTGAAAGATTATCGGATTATACGTGAGTTGCAAGCTTAGAGGGTATAAATACTTTTTTTTTTTTTCCTACAATTTTATCCTGCAGTGTTGAGGCTTCAGAAAGCCGGAGAGCATGATCTATCCTGTGAAAATTTCCCTCCTGTTAGGAGCAATACTGGATATTTCAGGCAGCCTGGCTTTGGTCCAGCAAAACGTGCAAGCTCCTGAGCTATCTCTCCGAAGCTAACGGCATGACATGCCCAAAGCATCGGGAGCAGCGCGCGGAGCGCTGTGCGGGATCGAGCCCTGGGAAGCAGGGAGACGCTCCATGCTACTGCTGCCCCAGTTCTGCACGGTCGGGAAAAATTAGTGTCCGGAAATCTTCAGAGGATAATTAGCCAGGTACTTTTCTCTTCCACCCAATATATTTCAAGGACAATTCTGTTGTTGAATTATTTTTTTTCCTGCTATTTTTCAGGTGAAATTCTTAGAGCTACCAGAGCATAACGGAGCAGTGTAGACAATTTCCAAAGCAGAATAAACTAGCAAATCTCTCCTTCCTTTCTGTCCTCCAGACCCTCCAAAATCATATTTTTGAAAACAGCTACCTTCATATTTGAACATGTCTTTTTTTTTTTCTTTTTTTCCCTTCCAACAACAGAAGGTGAAGAAAATACTACAAAATGAATCCTCAGACTCTAGGAGCGAAACCCTCCCTGTATTTCTTTCGGTGAAGAATGGTCCATCTTCATAGTATATCTGAGTTTAACAAAACCAGTGTCTCTGCTCTCCAGATTGTCTAATGTTTGCCAGAAACATAAACAGGGCAGAAAGTGAGGCAGAAGAAATAAAAACAAAATGCTATTTCAACATAAACAATACAAGCAAACAAGCAAACAACGACAACAACAACAACAACAACAAAGATTCAGGCCATACTGTTCAACTCTAACAATTCAGGAAAAAAAGAGTCCTGCCTCAAAAAACAGTATTTCTTTTGAACAAAGACCAAATTTTTGCTATTGCTACACATGTCATTTGTAGGCTAAACTCTGAGACATAAAGACGAGCTGGGGTAAAATGTATGGGTCTTCAGCCACATGCTGGACTACTCTCAGGATTTGCTTTTGCTTTAATTCCGTATAAATAACAATGGGAATATGAACATTTCCCTTCTTCTGGCTATATCTGGCTCATCTTAACAGTAATTGCTCAGTTTAAGAGCATTTTTCCCTGTTGTGCTTTCTCTGTTCACACATACGTTCAGATAACCGTGCCCCTGTGTCACACACACTCCTTTCTGCAGAGACATGCAATCTATAAAAATATACATTGCACACAGTCATACGCCATTATTATACACACATATTTAAAATGATGAATGTTAAGGATGCACAGCATTCAAGCAAATTGCTAAGACAGCCAAATATACAACCTTATATTTGCCTATTTATAAGTTACTTATTTTTCAGTTACATGATCACAAAATTTCTCTAACGATATTATCTACAGCATATGTATTTTGCATATCTACTACTTAAAGAAAAAGAATTTACAGTGTGGTTTAAAGTTTGCTCCCACATTATATTTCAGTGAAAACAGTGAAAACAGATCTATGCAAAATGTTCATTCAAGCACAGTGCACCACCACTGAAGTGAATATCCTAATATCAGCTGGATTTGATAAGAAGATGGCATCCCATTCTTAATACCTCCGTTACATCTGCAAAATAAACTTAATATAACTAAGACTTCTTATAGAGTGAGAGCGTGTATATTGCAAAAGGAAGAATACGCTTAGCACGAGATTCACTGTTTCTACGAGACTTGTTCCTACAAGTAGCTAAGGCCACTAACCCGCCATGACTATGGGGAAGATTTCACTTCCAGGAAATACTCTCACAGGTGAAAAGAGGCGTTCTTTTGAGACTGTGTATGCTAGACGTTCTCTTAAGAAATACAATGGGGAAAGCAAGTTCTTCCAAATAGCATCACGATATTACTGTTTCAGAAGTAAAAGCGGCAGCAAGCAGAATGCACAATGACATTCAGAAGAGCAAAAGAAAGAGACAGATATATCCAAAAATATAATGCATTTGGTAAGTTCCTTCTCTGGACAAGCAGCTGTGGCAGGTGATCAGAATCCATCTCAAGGAAAGTAGCCTTTGAGGTTTGGTTGGACATACAGGCACAAACAGGCCAGGAGGTGCTGAACTCTATCATAAATCCTCATCATTTACCATGTCTAGTTGCCTGACTAACATACCTACATGAGATTGGGTGGTGTTTTCTAACCACGTGATAGATTGTCAATCCATATAATAAATGGCACATAGTGTGTACTTTCACTGGCAAGCTTGTAGTCTGCTCATGAATCTCTCTTCTTGAAGCGGTTTCGAGCATGAATATATTGATGATTGGCTGCTTCTTCTTCCTCTTTTTTCTTTTTTTTTGAATTGCTGTATCACAGGAACATCTTACCTCCCACCAAAATCTACAGGGTTTCATCCCAGATGAGACAAATCCAAACCCAGGATCAAGAATATTTTCTTTGGTATTAGTGATACTTTAAAACAAACGAGCAAACAAATGGTGTTTTACGTATATTCCACCTGGGCATCCTGGCTTCACCACAGCAAAAAGGAGGAAATTTGGGCTTCCTTCATGATATGCAATTTGATTAGCAAGATTTAAAAAGACAGAGTTCTAAGCCAAGCAAAAGCTCTTTTCAGACAGTTTAAGAGAGGTATTTGTTTTAATTTTCCTTCTCCTCTCTGTTTCAGGTGTGCCAACAGTCCTGCACTGTCTATGCATCTTAGCACCTCTCAGTCCTTGCTGCGCTCAACCTCACAAAACCCTCTGAGCAAACGGGACGCTGTATTCTGAGTTCCTTCAAGGTAAGGGCCTCTGCACTTATCCCTTCTACAGATTCTTAGCTGAGATGCCTGAATTAGTTTTTAAAGGAGAGGAAGAAGGCATGTCCCAGGGCAATTTAGATCATCTTGCTTTATCTTAGTGCTGTTAAGACTCATAGCACAAAAGCAACCCAGACATTGAGACAGACAAAAAATAATGCCAGCCCAGGATGTAACTATTAGCTGGTTATAAAATGCAGCAGTTTCATTTTCTCCTGAGTAGCTGTCCCAGTTCCCACCAGTAGGCAATTTGGCTTGCAACATTGAGCACTTTTAGAGTGTGTGAGCTAACTGTTGCCTTTAGCGTGGCATAAACACAACAGATGATGATGTAGGGAGGAAAAAGCATTCACTGAGTCTTGTCTGGGGGATGACCTACATAGAGCACT